ACTGGTCGTGCTAATGTTGTCTTGTGTTCACCTCTGCATGTGTGTTCTGTGTTCACCTCTGCATTTGTGTTCTGTGTTCACCTCTGCATGTGTGTTTAGTGCCGTGTGTCTGGCAAATAAAGTCAAGCCCCCCTCAAAAGTTACGGTTTATTTCATTTTAAGGATGAGCACCAAGCAACATCTCCAGGTGCTCCTTTGAGAACCAGGGCAAAAAAGTTATGTGCATGAGAGAGAGAGAGAGAGAGAGAGAGAGAGGGGGATGTGTGTGATTGTGTGAGAGAGAGGGGAGCAACACATGACTACTGTCGGAAGCAGTGAAATAACAACACGTACATTTACGCGTACATTTACGCGTACATTTACGCACACATTTTGCGGTGACGTGATATTGTAATGTACCTCAAATATATGTACCTTAATACATGAAGTAAAGGATGCTATCACAAAGCAATACTTAACAACAACAACCGTAATACTTCAGCATGAAAAGGAAAACACTGACACTTGTCACCGTGGTTACAATATCAATCGATCCAGCAGGGCACAGAAGATCAACAAAAGATATGACATAAATGAAACTTACCAAAGCTGGTTCATTCATTTTCTTTCCGTTTTACTGATTGTAATCGCTGGTGATGTGAGCTATACGCTGCTCTCTCTCGTCTCTTCACAACTACACTTTTCGCGGCACACGTACTTACAGCCAATCAGCTCTCTGAATTATGAGATGACCTTTTAGTGGGGCTGCGAGTGCTTTTCCACACTTGTGATTATTTTTTTGCTGCACACATTGAATACAAAAATACTCTTAGCATGCGCAGTGTAGTTTTCACAGTACACGTTCATTTCTACAGAGAGAGAGAGGCAGATCGGAGCTTGCCCCACATCGCTCAACACGGCTCAATAGGCACACTGTGGACACTAATCAGAAGAACGCAGACTAAAACAGCAATGTAGAGACCACTAAACATGATCTTAAAATATATTTTAACATATATTTTAGGAATTATTATTTAAATTATTTTCTGCTGACCTGTCCCTAATGACGAGTCGCCAATGATGATAACATAAGAACGTTTCCTGAATGGTGAGAAAACAGGATTGAGGGAATAATAATAAATAACTTAAATATGTTCATACAATCTGTCAGATAGACTTTACCTCAGTGGTTTGCAGAAGTGCATCTTTCTCGCTCATCCTGTCCTCATAGGCCAGCAGCAGGGGAGATAAATACTTCATGTCGAGCTACAAACAGGTACAAAGAGTAATGAGCCACAATTAGCTACAACATCAAAGCCATGAATATATTTCCATAAAGTGCTTATTTGAGGCAGGAAAATCACTTTTCAGCCCACCAGTCACAGTGGTTGGTAGATTTGACCTATACTGGGTGCAAATGGGCTTCATTTTATTCATTTATTCGGCATGATTCCAGTCACTGTGGACACATAATGAACCTCTTGAACCCCTGCTTTGATTTTCCGAAGGATAAAGCACACTCTTCCTTCTAAAATGTGAATCTGGGCCAAACTACGATACCAGCTATGTATCATCATATTCATTATTTCCTGAAAATGTAACGTCATAACTTTACCCGTACTGTAATACAATGTCCCCACTTATATCGAAGTAACCGAGCTGACGTCATGGGTGTCGAAACAGGCAAAACACAGCAAGAGCCATTGACAACACTTTTTATGGATGGTTGGTGCACAACCCAATACAAGATTAGAACTCTTACCATGGAGTAATCTGGTGGTGAAGTAGAGGAGTAGCAGATTATGGTTACATGACTTTACCAGTTTAAATAACATACCCACACTGTCCTGCTGTTATTACCATAGACCAGTGTTTCTCAAAGGGTGGGGCCCGCCCCATTGGTGGGGCGCAGAGATGTGATAGGTGGGTCGCGAATGGATGCGATGAACGGGAGATTATTTTTTTATTAATGTTTTGGACCTCAGGCCGGAATCGAACCTGGGTCCTCGCGGGCAGTAGTGGACTGTTACAGCCGGAGACTCGCAACGGCGGTGGACTTTCACGGCGCCGCTGCGCCGGAGCCCCCGGAGTGGAGTGCACCAGCTGGGCGTAAGCTGGGCGTAACTCTACGTCCGACGTAGAACCGAAGGTTAAGACCAAACTAAAGTTATGACTAGTGCACCACTTAGACCAGGGGTGCCCAACCAGTCGATCGCGATCGACCGGTCGATCGCAGGGAGATTCCCAGTCGATCGCGAGATGTGTCTAAAAATAGAACAACAATATTCTGTTTTATCGTTAATCTCCTGTAACATAATCTTCCCGTGCCAGAATAATGCACTTGAACGCATCAAAGCTTTGTGATTGGCCGGCTAGACCCCATGTGTCGGGGCGTGGCTGGTCGGCAGTGGGCACTATTTCGCTGACGTTGTCCGTGTCAACAACAGGAGTGACAGTCCGCACACACACAAGACCGCAATTATGGCAGAAGCAAAAAAGCCCAAAATATATAATTTTCACTCCGAGTGGGAGGATGATTATTTTTGTATCTATTCCAATTCAAAGTCCATCTGTCTCATCTGCAATGCGAGTGTGGCTTTATCGAAGAAGGGTAATTTAGGAGCGGCATTTCAAAACAGTGCACAAACGCTACGAGACGGAATTCCCTCCTGATTCTGCCCTACGCTCCCAAAAGGAGAGGGGCCTGAAAGGACAGCTAAATGCACAGCAGTCCATTTTCACCAGGCCCAACAACAAGAGCAAGGCTGCTACCATAGCATCTTATCGTGTCAGTCACGTTCTTGTGAAACACATGAAGTCTTTCAAAGACGGCGAAGTTGTGAAAGAAGCTTTCCTGGAGGCTGCCGACGCGCTTTTGGGGACAGTAAAAATAACAGAAGCATTTCAACAGGTTTTTGATATAATAAAAACTCAAGTTGGATACCGTTATTAATCAGCTGTAAGTTTTAGTTTGTTTGAAAGTATTCATTATAATTATTGTACAAAATGGTATAAGAATGCAAACTTAAATTGATTATAGTCTATCATCAATTCAGGTTAAGAAACTAGTGTTGCTTGCATCCTATATTAAAGGCATTTCTTTTTATAATTTACTAAAATGCAACAAAAAAAGGGTTTGATTCTATTAATTTTGTCTTTTTTATTGCACGTTGGCAGCAGATTCCTGTGTAGCTTCAGATCTGAGTTGTCTTATTAGTAAGCCTAATTTATACTTTTGTAGCAACACTATTTTTATATAATGGCAAATAAAGGGTTCAGAGTCTTTTCTTTTTTTCCTGTGTCATATGTGGCAGCACTGTAGTGACGTGTGAATAAACTCCAACTCTGTATCAACAACACTGTTGTGTAACTTCAGTTAAATACTTGTATGTGTGTAGATTAGAAAGAGCAGGTAAGATAAAGGATCTGCAGTATTTTATGGAGTATTAATCGTACAAAGGTCAGTTTTATACAAGCAGTAGTGTGTATTTACCTGGTAGTAGGCTGTCAGTAATGGCTACGCCTCTCTATTTGGACTGGTAGATCTCGGCAGACTGGCAACTTTAAAAGTTGCTCTCGGTTCAAAAAAGGTTGGGCACCCCTGACTTAGACTTAAGCCCTGTATGCGTTGCGCCCGGGTGTAACTTTTACGCCTAGTATGGAGCAGGCGTAAATTGGAAAGACAGACTAGTATCCATAGTAACGTAAAACAGGCAAGAAGGATATTAACGATGGCAGGGCGTCTTGTTTACATGTTTAACAATGAAAGGGCATTAAGAAGAGTCTCAATTTCTCCTTCTCCAGCTCAATTTGTTCGTGTTCCGCTCTCAATTTGACGGTCTCCACCTCCACACGAACGATTTATTTCTCCGTCAGTTCCCGCTGTAGCTCTGACAAATCCCTCTTTCTCTTTCGGGGTGTGTGGCCATTTGGGATTCCCCTTGAGTCATTGCTGACGCTGTGGGTGTGGGAATTCCCTCTTCTCTGCGGTCCTCTGAGTCTGTAAAATGGTAAAATGGCGTTGCTTGGCAACAATTACTGTTGTATTGTGTGTACTGCGTGTATTCACGTGGCCGCGCATTTTAAGACCAGGCGCAGCTACGCCCGAGACTAGTCAGGCTTGGTGCACTCGGTGTAAATTCGAATCACTACGTCGGACGTAGCTAAGCCCGACGTTAGAGTTAAGCCCTACTTTTTTACGCCTAGCTGGTGCACTCCACTCCTGGAGCCTCGCAACGGAGGGTGTTTGCGGCGGTGGTACCGGCGCAGCGGCGCTGTGAAATTCCACGGCCCACCTATGCCAGAGCCAGCGGCCCACCAACGGCAGCAGCCCACCGGGAAAAGTCCTGAATCTCCCGATGGCATATAGTAGGCCCTTTTTCTATATTTTTGGAACTGTTGTTATTTGTTATAGATATATTTTTTTTATATTGTTATAGAACGATACATTTGGCAATTTTAAGCTTGGCCTACCATTTTATTGGAGCGACGAGAGACAGGTGAGGCTTGAAAAGGCCCACCTGATCAAAGTGGGGAATGACAGAAAAAGTTTGAGAACCACTGCCATAGACTGTACAGACTACAGACTTCTGAACTAACCACAGACAGTTGTCTAGTTCATGGAATGAGGGCAGTGCTCCGTAGCATTTAACGGCAGCTAGCCACAAATGGCTTTACAGGAGGGAAAACACCGAAATGGAGATTTGGCTCTAATTTGGCATTTGAATAATATATATGTTTAGTCCTGGGGGGTGTCTTGTACAGTTACAGGACAAACACTGTTTTTGTAAGTATTGATGAGTTAAGTTGGTAGGACACATGTTAAGCTAGTTAACGCTGTTAACGCTGTCAGAAAACGTTCCAGTAATTTATTAAATTGCCCACTTGAATCATGTTTAACATGAGTCAATTCCAGAGACTAGAAACCACTCAACTCTGGGACAGTTTTATCCCACAGCCCATTAGACTTCTAAACTCCTGAGCTTGCACTTTTTTTATTGATTGTTTTTGTGTTATTTCTTATTTATATTTATATTTATGTTGCATTGTTGGAGGAACCTTTGACCCAAGATTTGAATGCACTGTAGCTGTGTATCTGACATTAAAACCGTTGAACCTTGAGATGATAGTTTACATGATAATGTGTCAGGATTATTATGTCGTGTCACGTTTCTATGTCTAGGTGTCGGTGTTTTTTTTTCCGTTCTCCTTGTCATGTTTTCCTCCCTGGATATTGTCTGGTCTCTTTTCCCTGTGTTTTCATGTCTGTCGTTAGTTCCCTGGTGTGTCTAATTCCCTGATTGTTCCCAGCTGTGTCTAGTTACCCTGTGTTTAAATGTCCCTGTCTCCCAGTGTTCAGTGTCAGTTCGTATTGTCTCTTGTCATGGTCAGGTCTATGCTCTTTTGTGTTCAAGAATAGTTTTATTCCTCACTACGTGAGCGATTTTCCTTTTGGTCTCATTTTTTGTCATCTCATCCTGAGATTAGTTAGTGACCTTTTTTTGTTCATCGTGTTTTATTGGAAAAATAAAGTATCTTACCAATACTTTACCTCTGTCTCCCTGTCTGCAATTGGGTCCAACATCCTAAGTGCCTGAGATCGTAACAGAACGAACTGACGAGAAATGGACCCAGCAGATGATCCTTTTGAGGTGGAGCTACAACATTTTTCCTTTTATTTGGCATGCTGCTATGATTGGTGGAAGGGAGCGTCCAGTGTTCTGCAGAGGGAGGCCGCTCTGGTAGAGGCGCACCGGTTGGCTATGGAGAAACCAGACTTGGTGAAATTCGTACCTGGCTGGATGTTGAACTTCCTCTGGATGTGTGATTTCCAGCCTGCTGACTGCAGACGTCTCGGTGTGTTCCGTCTGGGGTCAACCCATGCTTCTGCCCCAGTTCCTGCTCCTGTCCAGGAGTCGTTTTCTGGAACTCGTCTGGCTTTTGGAGGTCCACGGAGCCTTCAGGCGGCTTCTAAGAGAAGGAGTCGCAAGTCCAGGCTAGCAGCCCGAGCCCCAAGAGCCATGATTCCGGTCCCAGTTCTGGCCCCAGCGGCCATGGTTCCGGCCCCAGCAGCCATGGTTCCGTGCTCCAGTACCATCCCACATAGCCATGGTACCGTGCTCCAGTACCATCCCACACAGCCATGGATCCGTGTTCCGGTTCCTTGCCCAGCAGCCATGGTTCCGGCTCCAGTGCCGGCCCCAGCAGCCATGGTTCCGTGCTCCAGTACCATCCCACACAGCCATGGATCCGTGTTCCGGTTCCTTGCCCAGCAGCCATGGTTCCGGCTCCAGTGCCGGCCCCAGCAGCCATGGTCCCTGCTCCAGAACCGGACCTTACAGCCATGTTTCCGGCTCCAAAACCGGCCCACACAGCCATGATCCAGGCTTCAGCTCCGGACCTTACAGCCATGTTTCCGGCTCCAGAACTGGATCTTACAGCCATGTTTCCGGCTCAAGAACTGGATCTTACAGCCATGTTTCCGGCTCCAGAATCGGCCCATGCAGCCATGGTCCCTGCACCAGAGATGGCCCATACAGCCATGGTTCCGGCTCAAGTACCGGGCCCAGCAGCCATGGTTCCGGCTCAAGTACCGGCCCCAGCAGTCATTGTCCCGACTCCAGCTCCTCGTCACCTGTTGACTCATCGGCCGACGCCAGCTCCCCGAGTCCTGTCGGCATACCGGCCGACTCCAGCACCTCGTCTCCTGCTGGCTCTCCAGCCGACGCCAGCTCCCTGTGTCCTGTCGTTGTACCGGCCGACTCAGCACCTCGTCTCCGGTTGGCTCTCCAGCCAGCACCAGCTCCCCGAGTCTTGTCGGTGTACCGGCCGACTCCAGCACCTCGTCTCCTGCTGGCTCTCCAGCCGACGCCAGCTCCCCGTGTCCTGTCGGCGTACCGACCGACTCAAGTCCCCTCTCGAGTCTCCTCTCGAGTTCCCTCTCAAGTCACCTCCCGAGTTCCCTCCCGAGTTCCCTCTCAACTCACCTCCCGAGTTCCCTCTCAACTCACCTCCCGAGTTCCCTCTCGAGTTCCCTCTCCAGTCTCTTCTCCAGTCCCCTCTCGAGTCCCCTCTCAAGTCTCCTCTCCAGTTCCCTCTCAGGTCCCCTCTCGAGTCCCCTCTCGAGTCCCCTCTCGAGTTCCCTCTCCAGTCTCTTCTCCAGTCCCCTCTCAAGTCTCCTCTCCAGTTCCCTCTCGAGTTCCCTCTCAGGTCCCCTCTCGAGTCCCCTCTCGAGTTCCCTCTCGAGTTCCCTCTCGAGTCCCCTCTCGAGTTCCCTCTCGAGTCTCCTCTCGAGTTCCCTCTCGAGTCTCCTCTCGAGTTCCCTCTCAAGTCCCCTCTCGAGTTCCCTCTCAAGTCTCCTCTCCAGTTCCTTCTCGAGTTCCCTCTCGAGTCTCCTCTCGAGTTCCCTCTCAAGTCTCCTCTCCAGTTCTTTCTCAAGTCCCCTCTCGAGTCCCCTCTCGAGTCCCCTCTCCAGTTCCCTCTCAAGTCTCCTCTCCAGTTCCTTCTCAAGTCCCCTCTCAAGTCACCTCTCGAGTCTCCGATCAAGTTCCCTCTCGAGATTCCTCTCAGGTCACCTCTCAAGTCAACTCTCAAGTTCCCTCTCAAGTTCCCTCTCGAGTTCCCTCTCAGGTCCCCTCTCGAGTCCCCTCTCAAATTCCCTCTCAAGTCTCCTCTCGAGTCTCCTCTCGAGTTCCCTCTCAAGTCCCCTCTCGAGTTCCCTCTCAAGTCTCCTCTCCAGTTCCTTCTCAAGTCCCCTCTCGAGTCCCCTCTCGACTCTCCTATCGAGTTCCCTCTCGAGTCTCCTCTGGAGTTCCCTCTCAAGTCTCCTCTCCAGTTCTTTCTCAAGTCCCCTCTTGAGTCCCCTCTCGAGTTCCCTCTCAAGTCCCCTCTCCAGTTCCCTCTCAAGTCTCCTTTCCAGTTCCTTCTCAAGTCACCTCTCGAGTCTCCGATCAAGTTCCCTCTCGAGATTCCTCTCAGGTCACCTCTCAAGTCAACTCTCAAGTTTCCTCTCGAGTTCCCTCTCAAGCCCTCTCTCGAGTTCCCACTCAAGTCCCTACTCAAGTGTTGTTGGAGGTTCCGCTGGGGGTCCTGCCAACTCTTTGTCCTGTGCCGTTGGAGGCCCCGCCGACTACTCTTCTGCCGGGGGTCCTGCCAACCCTAAGTCCTGTGCCGTTGGAGGCCCCGCCAACTACTCTCCTGCCAGGGGTCCTGCCAACCCTGTGTCCTGTCCCGTTGGAGGCCCCGCCGACTACTCTTCTGCCGGGGGTCCTGCCAACCCTATGTCCTGTGCCGTTGGAGGCCCCGCCGACTACTCTTCTGCCGGGGGTCCTGCCAACCCTGTGTCCTGTTCCGTTGGAGGCCCCACCAACTACTCTTCTGCCGGGGGTCCTGCCAACCCTAAGTCCTGTGCCGTTGGAGGCCCCGCCGACTACTCTCCTGCCGGGGGTCCTGCCAACCCTGTGTCCTGTCCCGTTGGAGGCCCCGCCGACTACTCTTCTGCCGGGGATCCTGCCAACCCTTTGTCCTGTCTCGTTGGAGGTCCCGCCGCCTACTCTCCTGCCGGGGGTCCTGCCAATCCTATGTCCTGTGCCGTTGCAGGCCCAACCGACTACTCTCCTGCCGGGGGTCCTGCCAACTCCTTGTCCTCTTCCGTGGGGAATCTTGCCGACACCTGTTCCACCAGCTCTGGTTACTGTCCGGTCAACACCGGCTCCTGCCCGGTCCCCTGAGAGCTGTGGTCTTCGCCCCTCCTCGAACTCTGCCTTGCCCCCGGGCTGTCCGCCCGAGACCCCGTTTTTTAACTCTGCCTTGCCCCCGGGCCGTCCGCCCGAGTTCCCCTTTTTTAACTCTGCCTTGCCCCCGGGCCGTCCGCCCGAGACCCCATCCATGGTTTCTGCCTTACCCCCGGCTGTCAGTCAAGGCCCGTCCTCCGGACCTCCTCCACCCACCCTGCTGGACCTTTTGGATTTTTTTTAATTTTTTTTTGAGGGGGGGGGGGGGTTCTGTCAGGATTATTATGTCATGTCACGTTTCTATGTCTAGGTGTGGGTGTTTTTTTTCCGTTCTCCTTGTCATGTTTTTCTCCCTGGATATTGTCTGGTCTCTTTTCCCTGTGTTTTCATGTCTGTCGTTAGTTCCCAGCTGTGTCTAGTTACCCTGTGTTTAAATTCCCCTGTCTCCCAGTGTTCAGTGTCAGTTCGTATTGTCTCTTGTCATGGTCAGGTCTATGCTCTTTTGTGTTCAAGAATAGTTTTGTTCCTCACTACGTGAGCGATTTTCCTTTTGGTCTCATTTTTTGTCATCTCATCCTGAGATTAGTTAGTGACCTTTTTTTGTTCATCGTGTTTTATTGGAAAAATAAAGTATCTTACCAATACTTTACCTCTGTCTCCCTGTCTGCAATTGGGTCCAACATCCTAAGTGCCTGACATCGTAACATAATGTCATTCCTTTCATGCTGTTAATATATTAGTTTTGAAATGATATCGTAGCAGACAATAAGGACATAATTGAGTTTAAGCACAGACCTGCAGTCTGTGCTTAAACTCATACAATCATATTATGTGTCCTTTCTGTTAGGGCTGCTCGATTACGGCAAAAATCATAATCTCGATTATTTGGGTCAATAATTGATATCACGGTTATTAAAAACGATTATCCATTTACTTTGAAAATATCAATTTATTGATTTATTTTTTGAACAGTATGTTTTTAACAGTTGATTACCCTGAACTTTAAGTATAATTCAACTGAAAAACCAATTTAAAAATAATTAATTAAATAAAAAAATAATCGTTTTATTACGTTGTTTTTGTAATCGTTGCAAGCCATAATTGCGATTAAAATACGATTAATTGAGCAGCCCTACTTTCTGTGACACTTTACCTTCACACTAACTCAGTAGCAGTTGGAAAGTATCAGTGTGTTACTATGGAAACAGTATTGTGTGTGTGTGTGTGTGTGTGTGTGTGTGTGTGTGTGTGTGTGTGTGTGTGTGTGTGTGTGTGTGTGTTCGACACCGGCATTTGTTTTCAGATGACCATGAACAGTAATTTACACACATCTGGTTCTCCATAGGTAGGCTATATAGGCCTGCCCTTTCCAAATGGCTTCCAATGGAGCTTTCCTAGATGGTTTGGTGAAACAAACCATCTAAGTCAGGTTAGTAATGCTCCATCACATGTTTTACATCTATTACAGGGTGAATCTTAAACTGAAGCATGACTTTAACTACTACCTGTACTATTCTGTGTTTCAATGTTATTCCTGTTGCTGCTGTAATACCTGAATTGCCCTATGGGGATCCATAGAGGTATATCATATCCTATCTTAATCAGATGTATGAGCTAAATGTGAATATGAACTAGCCATATGGTTGGACTACCACCCTGCCATAATAAAGTCATGTACTGTACAGCTACATAAAGTTACTAACCAGCCCGGGAGGAGGGGAGTCTGTCTTTGGTAAGCTGCTGATTCTGGAGCTCTGGATAAGAAACAGTAAAAGAGAGGAGGAAAAAAGTCATCATACCATCATAGCATTGGTTAATGTGGCAGCTATAAATGTAGTCTTTCACACAAATTGAATATATATATATGAAAATGTGTTGATAGAACCAGAGGATTAAGAAAGAAGAAAAAATGGGGAATAAAAAGAAAATGTGTGATCTATGGAGGCAGACAGTTCTGTCTCAGCCAATTAAACCCATTCAGAGTCACCCCATTTCATATCGCTGCATCATACTACCGTATACTTTCTCCCTAATCTTATCCGTTATATATTCCTTTCACCAGCTACACTTCAGCTGCAGTAATGAGGGCTGGCAGGCACATCAAGCGACATGCTAGTGATTAGGGCAGGAGATGTCTTGCTGTGAACACACAGCGTGAGGTAGCCATGATCAAACAGCACAGGCCAGCTTTCTTCTGCCGTGTGACACACACAACAACCCCGAGCGGACACACAGCCAAGACAGGAAAAAGAAAGTCCTTTAGTGCAACAAATCAGTTGGAAGGACAGACAAAAAGGAACATTATTTCTATCTTAAAGTCTTGCTGTGAAAATAAAGTGCACTGGAAATAGATTCAGTATAAAATCAAATTAGACTAAGGGAAGAACTTTGCAGTACAGAACTAGAAAAGTACACTCAGTAAAGACAGGTGTTTCTTACTTTGGGACTTCAGATACACTTTTTACACAAAAAAAACATTTGTAACTGTCTGCAAATCGAAATGTGCTTCTCTACTTTGTTATTATCTATAGTTGCTAATTAAAACACCATAAACATGTTGAGGAAGTAAAAAGCAATATATATTTTGGTAGCCCTAAAGAAAAGAAAAAAAGTCACACAAGGATACATTTTAAGAAAGTGGTGGGTTTGAATCAAATCCTATATGACCATCACGCACATGTACACATCACCGCACGGCACAGCAGTGTGTAGGGGCGTTGGGCAGCTTCTATAGAGCGCCTGGGGAGCGGTGAGGGGGTCTGCTGCCTTGCTCCACTTTGGAGAGTACCAATACACCTTCCATTCTTGGTCTGAACCGGAGACCCTCCAGTTCCCAAGACAGGCTGAGCTTCAGCTGAGTATAACCGAGTTAAACTCAGTTATACTCAGCTGCCCCCAAAAGACAGCCATGAGCAATTTTTCTTTTTTAAGTGTAAATTAACCAAAAAAACAAACGTCAAGAAAATAAATATTCTTACACCTATTCTCCCTGTTTAAAAGTCAGCCAAACACTCTATTAATTAGATCTTAACAGAAACAAAATGAAAATGATTGAAAGCCACTTGTTCAGATCTTTCCAGTGTTCCAACAATCACCAACGAAATAAACCTTTAGTGCGCGAGTTAGATGTGAACATAATATGCAGAGTCTACAGACTGCTTATCCCCGATTTCTTTCTCCATCTTCCCCCTGAGGACAGGCAACGACTAATACAAATGGTTTAGTTCCATTAGCTGTTAGCCATTATTGGCGTGTTAAGTGTAGGGAGGAGTTAGCAGTCAATGATGGTATAGAACGGTCAAATGTATTCATTTTTTTAGCAGCCATAAATGTGGGGCCTCTGTCCCTGCTGATGAGAACTGGGGTTTGAATCCAACTCGGGGAACACTAACATGTGTCATCCAGTTGGTCTTAAAATGTGTCCAATAAAAGCTTTAGTGGCCTAAAATAATATGTTTTAAATATATTTTTTGAGGCTGATTGGTCCAATAGTATGGGGGATTCATCTGAAACAGCACATAGATAGATACACACATGGCCGATTACAATATTCATGGCTGAGATTAAAAAAAAAGATAATTCAATTATGGCTGGAGTGATAAAGGCTGATAAATAAAATAAGGGGACAGTTCTACAGCTTTTAAAGGCTAATCGACCAGAATTCAGTTGAGAAGAGGAAGGAGCCTATGACTATCTCATGCAGTCAACATGTCGATCTATCCTTAAATCCCAAGGCAGACGGTGTGTGCACTGAGTGAATGATGACTTGTAAATGTAAAGCGTAAAAAGTGGATAAAGCGCTATATAAATACAGTCCATTTACCTACATTACACTACCAGGAGGACTCATTCATGGATTGTCAATGTGTGAGTTTGAGTGAGACGAGATTCTACTCTTTAAAGCAGATGTGTTCTCGTGCAGCAAGTCATACCTCCTGTTTGGACAACGGTCTGAACTGGGTTTGGTAGCGACTCAGCTCCACATTCAGGCGGTGAACTGTCAGTTTGAGGGCATCATTTTCATCCACCAGCTCCTGAGCGTGTTGCCTCAGATTCAGCAGCTCTGCATGGCTGCCTGTAAACAAAGCAAATCAGTTTAAAGGCTTCCATATTTTGGAAACAATAAATATCACTCTTATTTAGGACTGTACCCAATGTCTTTTTTTACATTCATATCTTTTGTTGAGGTTTTGGAATTAAGTTTTTAATATTTGTTATGTTTTATGATTGTATCATATTTTATTGTGGTGTATAAATGTGATATATGGTGCTGTTAGATTGCTGCTAGACCAGCCCAGTAATACAGGTGCATTTGGCACTTTTTGGGATGAAGACTGTTTTTAGACCACTGTGAAAATTTTGTTTTTGAAAGTCTAACTCCAACAAATATAGGTTAAAGCAGAAAATATGGTTAGGCAAGAACATGTTTTGTATTTGGGAAATGATATGTGGTCAATAAAATGTGAAAACAGCCCTATGGAGGCCAACAGGGGCAAATGCAACGGCCCAAAACACTTCCATTAGGAGACATGCGCTTCACTTTAAAAAAACGATGTAGATATAAAAACACAAATGTACCAAAACACATGCAAATGTAGAAACCTCTTCACCAACTTGACAACACATTTAGGAAACATTAAACAAATTGAACAAACATGTGTAGCAATAAAAACGTTTGTTTTTTTTAATGCTGCAGGTGTTTTAATGCTGAAGGTGTTTTAATGCTGAAGGTGTTTTAATGCTGAAAGTGTTTTAATGCTGAAGGTGTTTTAATGCTGAAAGTGTTTTAATGCTGAAAGTGTTTTAATGCTGAAGGTGTTTTAATGCTGAAAGTGTTTTAATGCTGAAAGTGTTTTAATGCTGAAGGTGTTTTAATGCTGAAGGTGTTTTAATGCTGAAGGTGTTTTAATGCTGAAGGTGTTTTAATGCTGAAGTGTTTTAATGCTGAAAGTGTTTAATGCTGAAAGTGTTTTAATGCTGAAGGTGTTTTTAATGCTGAAGGTGTTTTAATGCTGAAAGTGTTTTAATGCTGAAGGTGTTTTAATGCTGAAAGTGTTTTTAATGCTGAAAGTGTTTCTTTTAATGCTGAAGGTGTTTTGTTTAAGCTGAATGGTGTTTTAATGCTGAAGGTTTTTTATGCTGAAAGTGTTTTAATGCTGAAAGGTGTTTTAATGCTGAAAGTGTTTTAATGCTGAAGAAGTGTTTAATGCTGAAAGTGTTTTTAATGCTGAAGGTGTTTTAATGCTGAAGGTTGTTAATGCTGAAGTGTTTTAATGCTGAAGGTGTTTTAATGCTGAAAGTGTTTTAATGCTGAAGGTGTTTTAATGCTGAAGGTGTTTTAATGTTGAAAGTGTTTTAATGCTGAAGGTGTTTTAATGCTGAAAGTGTTTTAATGCTGAAGGTGTTTTAATGCTGAAGGTGTTTTAATGCTGAAGTGTTTTAATGCTGAAAGTGTTTTAATGCTGAAAGTGTTTTAATGCTGAAAGTGTTTTAATGCTGAAGGTGTTTTAATGCTGAAGGTGTTTTAATGCTGAAAGTGTTTTAATGCTGAAAGTGTTTTAATGCTGAAAGTGCTTTAATGCTGAAGGTGTTTTAATGCTGAAAGTGTTTTAATGCTGAAAGTGTTTTAATGCTGAAGGTGTTTTAATGCTGAAGTGTTTTAAATGCTGAAAGTGTTTTAATGCTGAAAGTGTTTTAATGCTGAAGTGTTTTAATGCTGAAAGTGTTTTAATGCTGAAAGTATTTTAATGCTGAAGTGTTTTTAATGCTGAAGATGTTTTAATGCTGAAAGTGTTTTAATGCTGAAGGTGTTTTAATGCTGAAAGTGTTTAATGCTGAAAGTGTTTTAATGCTGAAGGTGTTTTAATGCTGAAGGTTTGTTTTAATGCTGAAGGTGTGTTTTAATGCTGAAGGTGTTTTAATGCTGAAAGTGTTTTAATGCTGATTGAAAGTGTTTTAATGCTGGAAAGTGTTTTAAATGCTGAAGTGGTGTTGTAATGCTGTGAAGGTGTTTTATGCTGAAGGTGTTTTAATGCTGAAAGTGTTGTTAATGCTGAATGAAAGTGTTTTTATGGCTGAAGGTCGTTAATGCTGAAGGTGTTTTAATGCTGAAGGTGATTTTAATGGCTGAATGAAGTGTTTTTTAATGCTGAAATGTGTTTATGTGAAAGTGTAATGCTGAAAGGGTTTTAATGCTGAAGGTGTTTTAATGCTGGAAGGTGTTTTTTAAATGGCGGAAAGTTGGTTTTAATGCTGAAGGTGTTTTAATGCTGAAAGGTGTTTTAATGCTGAAATGTGTTTTAAATGCTGAAAGGTGTTTTTATTTTGAGGTTTTATAATGCCTGAAGGTGGTTTTAATGCTGTGAAGTGTTTTAATGCATGAAGGGTGTTTTTAATGCTGAATGTGTTTTAATGGCTGAAGGTGTTGTTAAATGCTGGAAAGTTGTTTGAATGCTGAAGTGTTTAAATATGCTGAAGGTGCTGTATGCTGAAAGGTGTTTTAAATGCTGAAAGTGTTTTAATGCTGAAAGTGTTTTAATGCTGAAGGTGTTTTAATGCTGAAGGTGTTTTAATGCTGAAAGTGTTTTAATGCTGAAAGTGTTTTAATGCTGAAGGTGTTTTAATGCTGAAAGTGTTTTAATGCTGAAAGTATTTTAATGCTGAAAGTGTTTTAATGCTGAAGATGTTTTAATGCTGAAAGTGTTTTAATGCTGAAGGTGTTTTAATGCTGAAAGTGTTTTAATGCTGAAAGTGTTTTAATGCTGAAGGTGTTTTAATGCTGAAGGTGTTTTAATGCTGAAGGTGTTTTTAATGCTGAAGGTGTTTTAATGCTGAAGGTGTTTTAATGCTGAAAGTGTTTTAATGCTGAAAGTGTTTTAATGCTGAAGGTGTTTTAATGCTGAAAGTGTTTTAATGCTGAAAGTGTTTTAATGCTGAAAGTGTTTTAATGCTGAAAGTGTTTTAATGCTGAAAGTGTTTTAATAGTGAAAGTGTTTTAATGCTGAAGGTGTTTTAATGCTGAAAGTGTTTTAATGCTGAAGTGTTTTAATGCTGAAAGTGTTTTAATGCTGAAGGGTTTTTAATGCTGAAAGTGTTTTAATGCTGAAAGTGTTTTAATGCTGAAGGTGTTTTAATGCTGAAGTGTTTTAATGCTGAAAGTGTTTTAATGCTGAAAGTGTTTTAATGCTGAAAGTGTTTTAATGCTGAAAGTGTTTTAATGCTGAAAGTGTTTTAATGCTGAAGGTGTTTTAATGCTGAAAGTGTTTTAATGCTGAAGGTGTTTTAATGCTGAAGGTGTTTTAATGCTGAAAGTGTTTTAATGCTGAAAGTGTTTTAATGCTGAAGGTGTTTTAATGCTGAAGGTGTTTTAATGCTGAAAGTGTTTTAATGCTGAAAGTGTTTTAATGCTGAAAGTGTTTTAATGCTGAAAGTGTTTTAATGCTGAAAGTGTTTTAATGCTGAAGGTGTTTTAATGCTGAAAGTGTTTTAATGCTGAAGGTGTTTTAATGCTGAAAGTGTTTTATGCTGAAATGTAATGTTTTAATGCTGAAAGTGTTTTAATGCTGAAGGTGTTTTTAATGGCTGAAGGTGTTTTAATGCTGAATGTTTGTTTAATGCTGAAAGTGTTTTAATGCTGAAAGTGTTTTAATGCTGAAAGTGTTTTTAATGCTGAAAGTGTTTTAATGCTGAAAGGTGTTTAATGCTGAAAGTGTTTTAATGCTGAAAGTGTTTTAATGCTGAAAGTGTTTTAATGCTGAAGGTGTTTTAATACTGAAAGTGTGTTAATGCTGAAAGTTTTTAATGCTGAAAGTGTTTAAATGCTGAAAGTGTTTTAATGCTGAAAGTGTTTTAATAGCTGAAAGTGTTTTAATGCTGAAAGTGTATTTTAATGCTGAAGGTGGTTTTAATGCTGAAGGTTGTTTTAATGTTGAAGTGTTTTAATGCTGAAAGTGTTTTATAATGCTGAAAGTGTTTTAATGCTGAAAGTGTTTTTAATGCTGAAAGTGTTTTAATGCTGAAGGTGTTTTAATACTGAAAGTGTTTTAATGCTGAAAGTGTTTTAATGCTGAAGGTGTTTTAATGCTGAAGGTGTTTTAATGTTGAAAGTGTTTTAATGCTGAAGGTGTTTTAATGCTGAAAGTGTTTTAATGCTGAAAGTGTTTTAATGCTGAAAGTGTTTTAATGCTGAAGGTGTTTTAATGCTGAAAGTGTTTTAATGCTGAAAGTTGTTTTAATGCTGAAAGTGTTTTAATGCTGAAGATGTTTTAATGCTGAAGTGTTTTAATGCTGAAGGTGTTTAATGCTGAAGGTGTTTTAATGTATGAAGGTGTTTAATGCTGAAGGTGTTTTAATGCTGAAAGTGTTTTATGCTGAAGGTGTTTTAATGCTGAAAGTGTTTTAACGCTGAAGGTGTTTTAATGCTGAAAGGTGCTTAAATGTGCTGAAGGTGTTTTAATGCTGAAGTGTTTGTTTAATGCTGAAAGTGTTTTAATGCTGAAGGTGTTTTAATGCTGAAAGTGTTTTTAACGCTGAAGGTGTTTTAATGCTGAAAGTGTTTTTAATGCTGAAGGTGTTTTAATGGCTGAAGGTGTTTTAATGCTGAAGGTGTTTTAAATGCTGAAAGTGTTTTAATGCTGAAGGTGTTTTAATGCTGAAGGTGTTTTAATGCTGAATGGAAGGTGTTTTAATGCTGAAAGTGTTTTAATGCTGAAAGTGTTTTAATGCTGAAAGTGTTTTAATGCTGAAAGTGTTTTAATGCTGAAGGTGTTTTAATGCTGAAAGTGTTTTAATGCTGAAAGTGTTTTAATGCTGAAAGTGTTTTAATGCTGAAGGTGTTTTAATGCTGAAGGTGTTTTAATGCTGAAAGTGTTTTAATGCTGAAAGTGTTTTAATGCTGAAGGTGTTTTAATGCTGAAGGTGTTTTAATGCTGAAAGTGTTTTAATGCTGAAAGTGTTTTAATGCTGAAGGTGTTTTAATGCTGAAGGTGTTTTAATGCTGAAGGTGTTTTAATGCTGAAAGTGTTTTAATGCTGAAAGTGTTTTAATGCTGAAAGTGTTTTAATGCTGAAAGTGTTTTAATGCTGAAAGTGTTTTAATGCTGAAAGTGTTTTAATGCTGAAAGTGTTTTAATGCTGAAGTGTTTTAATGCTGAAGGTGTTTTAATGCTGAAGGTGTTTTAATGCTGAAAGTGTTTTAATGCTGAAGGTGTTTTAATGCTGAAAGTGTTTTAATGCTGAAGGTGTTTTAATGCTGAAAGTGTTTTAATGCTGAAGGTGTTTTAATGCTGAAGTGTTTGAAAAGTGTTTTATGCTGAAAGTGTTTAATGCTGAGGTGTTTAATGCTGAAGTGTTTTAATGCTGAAAGTGTTTTAATGCTGAAAGTGTTTTAATGCTGAAGGTGTTTTAATGCTGAAGGTGTTTTAATGCTGAAAGTGTTTTAATGCTGAAAGTGTTTTAATGCTGAAGGTGTTTTAATGCTGAAAGTGTTTTAATGCTGAAGGTGTTTTAATGCTGAAGGTGTTTTAATGCTGAAGGTGTTTTAATGCTGAAAGTGTTTTAATGCTGAAGGTGTTTTAATGCTGAAGGTGTTTTAATGCTGAAAGTGTTTTAATCACAACAAAAACGGGGACACTAGAAAGTGATGCACAGAGCTGGGACCGGAGTGCGTTTTGACGTTCAGGGATTATAAAGTTCCTGGCTGTTTTGTGTTTGCAGCGGTTTTTATTTGCATTGTTTCGTCAATGCTGCACTTTGAGTAAACGTTACGCTTGTTTAGTCAAGTTGGTGAAGATGTTTCTTCATTTGCATGTGTATTGGCACATGTGTTTTTATATTTGCATCTTTTTGAAAGCGTTTCTCTGCAACTGTTTTGGGCCGTAGCATGTTTGCCCCTGGTGGCCAACGTGCGGCTCTAAACTTAGAGTTGGAAACAATCCTACAGAGCCACCACTGGGATACAACTCTACAAATAGTTAAATAATACTAATAATATTATATCTGAACCTGTGTAGAATAATGGGTTCGAAAATATCTCAAATCTGCAAAGCATTTGAATGTTTATTAAGAATTTATGAATAAAGCTTCAAACTATTCTGTACAGCCCTAATCTTATTCAGAAAACTGAAAGTTAAATAGACAGTTCAAGAAGAATTAAGTTAAGTCTTAAAAAACAACATTATTCTCAAACAGAAAAGTCACAGGCTTAGAGGCCTAACAATTGACATTACAAAAGCCGAATCATTATTCTAGTTTCAGGAGAAAGGAACAGAGCAGGCTGGTGAGATGCAGGATGCTTTGGTCTTTCTTCAACATGACTCCGACTCTCTAAGTGGTCTGCTGGCTGACCCTGGACTTCAACAGAATTAACCCTTGGGGTCAAATGAAGGCAACATAATTCATGCTTCCCTTGCTGAGAATGGTTCTAGTACTTTTTCCATGCTGCTCCTTTCTGCCAACCAGGAGGCAAGAGTCTCTCACCACCAAGTCCACCTGCTTCCCATTTCTATTTTTTATTTACTCCATTTGATGTTTTCCTTTTCATGTTTCTTTCTCATTCCTCCCTCCCTCTCTCCTTTTACTCATGCCGAGGAGTTGCTGTGGAGCTCAAGGATCAGAGACATATTTACTCACCCCCTGCACATGCATCTGTTGTGACTCACTGCTTCATTCCTTCTCTCATTATCCCTTTCTCATCCCTATGTCACTTTATTGATCCCCCTTTTCCCCCACTCATTCTCTCGTCTCTCTCCAGCAGGTCCTCCACTCTACCTGCAGATGACCTTGCGTTGGTCGAGGATTGGCTGTTACTGATCTCTTGCTCCAGCCGCTGCAGCCGCTCCTCCAGCAGCTTTTGTTCATCTACCATTCTCACGTTGTTCTCTGGCGAGGCCCACGCTGCCTCCCGCTGCCCCTCGATGCTCGCCCTAATGGGCCCTGGAGACTGTTGGATGGGGGGTTTAGAGATGTTGGATTGGCTGGATTGGTTTGTGGTGGGGATGGGTAGCGCGGCTGTAAAAGGCAAGGTAAATACTTGTAATGGCAGTACATAAAACATTTAAATTGAATAAAATGTGAAAATGTAGTGCTTTCCTAAACTCTATTATATATAAGTGTTAAGGCATATTAGGTCCATTCATGCACATAAAACATCAACACAGCAAATAAACTAATTTATTGTGCTAACATTAATATTTGTATTTATTTATTTGATTCCATTCTACAATGGAGCATCTGTTTGAAAGACAATTTCCACAGGATAAATCAAATGAAACATAATAATTACAGAGCCAGGAGGCTCTAAGAGAAGAACTGAGAACATATCTCCTTTTTTTCTTCATACATTTGTTGAGAATTATAAAACAAAAATATCTATGTTTTTTCTTGTAAATGTATGACTGTCTTATGAGTTATGACAATTACAATATTTCCTCCTTCGTCCAGCTCCATCATTAATTTGTTATACCTATAATGTCCCTAATATGCCACCGTATATATGACCAGCACGTAAACAGAGAAATATGATTGTGAAGCAAATAGCACATTAACCTGTTATATATGAAATAAGTCATTTCAAATTATTTGGGCAATAACATGGACTATATTAGGGAATCAAGCTAGCAACTGTATTATAATATATCAGATACAGGAGTTCAAATCAAACAAATAATGGGTGTATGACAGAATATTTTTGAAATAGTGTCAGATAATTATTATCACAATAAGACAGAATAAAACAGACACAAAAGAAGAAACCCTAACCTACTGTTTGAATGTATGTATACAATTGTCCTAATTGCTACCAATACCTTACTCTGAGAGACACATATGCATCATGTCACTAGCATGCAGAGCACTCAAAACAATCTAACGATAGACATTCATTCGATAAAGAACATTGCAACACGTTTACTAAAATGGAATATTCTTGCTTCTAGATGCTGTTTATGAAAAGTACAAAACATACATACTATAGTTCCCATCATCAGAATGCATTGGTTTGTTGTGCTTTTCACTGATGTTTTATAACCAAAAAGCTGGCTTCATCACAGACAAATGAATAGTCAACATAACGAGCAGACACACACACACACAGCAGTCTACTTTGCGACTTACATGGCACGTCTTTTTTCAAACTTCTTGGGCTTTTCCTGACAGGCGCTTTCTTCTTGGAGTAATCAGCGCTGGCTTCTGGAGATTGGAAAACGGTTTCCTCAGGGAGATCTGAGGGATAGCATCATGCCATTATTAGTAAATGAACACAATTACAGACCTGTGTAGTGTTTTCTTTATGACTTTTTACTTGAATTGCATATTCTGTAATATTGTGTGAAGGTGACTTAGTCCATGGTTAAATGTATTGCTTTAGGTTTAGACGCACAGCCAAACTGTATTTGGCTTCATAATTTAGTGATTAAAGTAGGAGCATTGTAAGAACACATACAACATTTGAATTAGCAACCATCACAAGCCTGAGGACAGCTCTGGTCATAACAACTATAATGAGGCTTTCCATTTATGATGTAAGGCTACATTATGTGTGTTGTGAAACTACATTTTGGCTGATTAAAAGCTCACATTTTGCACTTCCCCTAGGGCTGAGGAGGAGTGTACCATTCTTTCTTTGTATGGGAGACGTTTCTAAAATTAAATTGAATGTCTCTATTTAAATGACCCTTTAAAAACACCTCTGTTGATTAACTTTAATTGAGGTGTAAATCAAAAAAAGTTATTAAAACAGAGTGTAATTCTGAAGAACACAATACACTAACACTCCCAACATAATTACATGTGATGGCCGCTTGTTGTTCCACAGGTTTTCATAACGCATTTGCTCCTCTATTAGAGTGTATTATGTAAGTTAACAATGTTCCCCTTACTCTACATAATACTGGAAGCTGGTAATAGATATTGCTTTGTATTTACTGACACCCAAGACAATATTGCTTGATGAAGTGAATGTTACCTCCCTGCCTTTACATTAGCAGTCACATCAGCTTAAATGGTTTTAGTGTAAATGTTGCATGTAAACTGAGAGTACCCTAATGGTTTAGAAAAGTCACTCTCTGTCAAAGACAATATGTTTGCTAGGGACTGGTTCTTAACGTCACTCAATCTAGTAACCATTAGCAGATATGGAAACTGGACAAAAACTATTGGGCTGTTTTGTATTTATTGTACAATATGTAGGCCAACTGTAAATAAACCACAATCAAATATGAATTGATAACACTAGAGAGTAGGTGCAGGTGTGACGTATTTTTGTAGGCCAACCAGTAAGTTAGCGATCCAAGGGTTCCCTGGACAAAAAAGCAATTGGATTTTTCCATTGGATTTTGCAGTATTCGCATAATGTGCTTTGTAGGTCTTTTGCAGGTCTCCCTTGAAAAAGAGATCTATGCTCTCAATGGGACCAACCTGGTTAAATAAAGGTATGAAATGAAATGTGGCAAACACACGTTTACTAAGTTTTGTACAACAGGTAATTTAGATATATTCACACTTTATGATATTTAAGCGTAAATGCAAAGTCAGAAGTGAAATGCTAATGTTAGGCTATAAACTAATGACATCACCATAACTGTGATGAGGTTTAGAAGTTTCCTTTAGTCACTTGTTAGCAGCAGACTGTTTTTATGACACGTAGAAGCTTAAGACATTCACGAGTGGGGTGTTTGACGTATTTTAATGTCGTAGAATAAAACACGAAAATCTTTAAAGCGTGTGTTTAACACAGACCTTGTTTTAGACATATAACCGCAAACATGTTCAAAAAAAACATTGACTTCAAGACAAGAGAGCCCAAAGTGCTAAAATGCTAACTCATTTTTGGTTTTTAAGGACTCATTCCTGTACCACTCTATACCCAGCATGTTGTCCTATTTAATTATGAGTTAGTTACTACTGTGTTCAAACACTTACCTGGAGAAGGCACTCTTCTGCCAGACATCGGAATCCGCTGCGGTGTACTAGTCTGAAAAAACAGACAGGCTGTCAGTCGGACAGATAGAGATTTCCAGAAGCCCTGTTGCCTGGAACCTTTTGTGCAAAGCTATTTTCGAGACCACTGAATTTATGCCTATTGTCAAGCTGTGGAAAAATGATATCTTGTCAGTGCGTTTCTTGTTGCGAGACACATTGTGAATGAGTCATAGTCTTCACTGGAGGGAAGAGTCTCAGTTGAAACATAGCAAGAAAGCAGCAAAGAAAGCTTGAAAAGGAATAATGTGGCAGACTGAGGAATGATGGTTTGAGGCCAAACTCATGATTATAAAATAAACTTTATTTGTATACACTGAATTGCTTTATTGCGACAGTGGTGCAAGTTTTTGGTTCAAGGTCAATATGCAGGCTGCAGTTTGTGGTATTGCATCATAAAGAGGGTTATTTTTCTTCTCTGTTATATAGCCCACACTTTAATGAAATAGACAACTGAGTGCAATTACTCTTAAGTGCATTTAACCCTGAATGATTACAAAAGCCAGCTCGTTGATGTGGCTCTCTGTTACGTTGATTTATCCTCATATGATGCAGGGAAATATAGCCTGATTATGGATCACATTTGCATGGGGGTACATATCTACTATGTTGGCTTGTATAATTGGTTTTCACATGGGTAAGGGTATGGTACAAGGAAAAGAAACATATTGTCCTCAGAATTGCATTAAGGTCTTCAGCTAACTGGTAAATAAAGTTAGATAGTCTGGACAAAACACTGACAAGGGAAAACAGAGCCCATTGAGACCAAGAAGGTTAGCAACCCAGTGTATCAGTATACAGGACGTGGACATACTGTAAATAGTATAGAACAATATCCCAATGATTATGTCCCTAGAGTCTTAGAGAAACGTAGGTGGTTGGAGCAGAATCTAGGTGATTAAAACTAAGGCACACTTCCTCTTTCAGTGCAAGACATGGGCCGTTACAGTTTAAAATACTACATTGGGATCAGTTATCAGGGCGATTTCCAGTCATAGATCCAGATTGTAGCAGTTGTAAAATCTTTAGATCTATCAACATTTTGAAGCTCGTCCAAAGTTAAAATGTATAGGAGGTATACAGTATAAGAAGTGGACCATCATTTTTTAAGTTTGGCATTTTGGCATTTTGGCTGTAGCTGTCGGTTTTTTGGAACCAGAAGTAACACGAAAGGGGTGGAGCTAAGTACAACCAAACATGCGAAACCAAACATCAACACTTTCATGAACTGAAAACACACAATGAAGGTATTAAAGGTCTCAGACAAAAACACAGACAACACCCAAACAGGACACAGCATTATTAACAAACCTTCAATCAAAAGGCAGCCCCGCCCTAAAGCATATGATGCTTTTTTAACTCTAAATTGGACCATAAGTAGCTAAATGAAAATACTTGAAACTAGTGAATGAGACCCTAAACTCATCAGGAAAATCTATACTGAGCCAATACATCAAGTGAGAAGTAGAGTAATGTTCTCATAGACTTCTATACAACCGGATTATCTTTGCAGAGGAGTTGCCCGTTCAGTGAGGGCGGTAGAAGCTTAGTCCAAAAGGACTTGGCTTGGGTACGGCAGGCAGGGTCCCTGGTTTAAGTCCAAGTCCAAGAATGAACACAAGACTACATTTGGTGTGTGTGTGTGTGTGTGTGTGTGTGTGTGCGCAGTGCTATGTAAAAGTACATGTGTGTAAATATTAAAGAGGTACTTATAGAAATCCTCCATTTATTGGCAGCTGTGAGTCACTATGTAAGTCACTTCAGATAAAAGTGGTAGCTATAATGACATGTAATTGAATGTAATATGCTGTAGTACGAATGCATTGGCTTCACTACTTAGACCTGGAGGTTGCCGCTTGATTGGACTAGTGGTTAAGGGCTATATAAATAAACATTGATTGATTAAGATATTTTCAGAGGTGTTTCAAGTAAAAATAGACCTGTGCCCTATTATAACTGTTTTTGGAGTACTGTCTGATATCTACTACAACTTCCTGCGTGGCTTCTTGGCATTCTATACACCACTTGCATGTCATTTAAACTATTGAAATTTGGCAGAGGCAATTCCTCAAACGCAGTGGATGAGGAATATTTAATATCATAACAAAAATGAAGGTTCATTTCTTTCTGAGATGCGAAGGAGAAGAGCTAGAATTACACGAGAACCTTTAATGCAAACCTGATAAGAGGATAACAGAACCCGTTAAATATCCCGCTCTAATAGACCAGAGAATTAGGATTATCCCTTCTGAATTGTATATCTTATCTCGTATAATTTGTTTTCTTTATCTTTCTATCTTATATTGGGAACTCTATTGCTATTATTTGAGTTACATTGATCGTACCAACATTTTTACCGAAACAGAAAAGGTCAGAACATGTAGAATTGGTTCTCCCTCGCTGCTATTTAATTTAATTTGTTTATTTATCTATCTATAATTTATCTAAAAAATAAAGCATGTGAGAGCCGTTTCTTAGGACATAATCATTGTGATTTTTTGCAGAAATATAGAATTTGCAGATAAACAACATGCAAATAACTATGAGTGGGTAAAGAAAGACCTTTAAATTGAGTGGCTTGTTGTCAGTGACTACCATGAATCATAATTTCAAAGTCAGTTTCGTCCATTTTACAGAGATAGAAAAATACCAAAATGTCACCACATGATTTGCTGGACCATCACATGCAAACACTACACAATTATGTTAAGTGGCAAATAAATTAAATAAAAATCAAATGATTCAGGAAGACATATAGGATATTTCAAACCTGCAAACTAATTACTTAAAATGACTTCTGAGCCTGTACAGTAAACAGTAAATTACAACTCACCACTACTCTACAGAAAAATATGACATCACCTTTTTTCTGTGTACAACTATGCCTCCCAGGGGTTCAAACGGGTATGACAATAGCAACACGTATAAACAAATTAAAGGATGAAGAGTTAACCCCTCTAAACACAAGCAGATATTCTTACTGCAAAAAAGGCACAGGTGTAACTAATAACATTAACGATGTCTCAGCCTGCAGCGCACACCTGCAACTCGTTATGCATGTCGTTATCAAGTTATTGGTTCCCCCTGTGCTGTTCCTACTATAGTAAACATAACACTGGTCAAGTCAAATAAGTGTTTACAAAGAACAATAGGCGCTTTCACACCGGAGTACTTTTTCCCAGGAATAGTTCCGATAGTTCCTGGGATTTTGCGTTCACACCAAAAAGATCTGGAACTAGAACTTTTTGCTTACCTTTTCACCCCTTTTTAGTCCCTGCTAGAGAGCAGAGACTTTCCTGGGGAGAAAAAGTTTCCAATTTCTGATTGGCTGGGCGGATTGCAAACCTCGCCCCGTAAAACTCTGAAATTATTTTGTGAAGCCGCCATTTTATTTGCTCGCATTAGCATTATTAGCATTAGCCCAGCGCACCAACGGAGTATATGCCGTGAAGTTGTTTGCGGCCTACCAGTAAACCCAAAGTAGAAGAAGAAGTGACGTCAGCGGCTCCCTCTGGACTTATTCCGGTGTGAACGCGATTTACTAGATAGTTCCAGGAAATAAAGGTTCCGGGAACTATTCCTGGGAAAGGTACTTGGTGTGAAAGCGCCTAATAGGACTGTTCTGTAGAATCTCACCTTGTGTTTTAGTGGCAGGGAATAGACAGGTTCTGTGAATGGACAATTATGTCCTTTGCCAAGAGTTTGGTAAACATGTTCTTCCCGCTCATCTTCACTCCCCACCTGCTCTTCCTCGTCCTCGTCCTGCAACTCTTCTTCCTCTGATAGGTCAGGGGAGGAGAGGCGTGGTCGGCTAGCCAAATCTTCTGACCATCTGTCTCTGAAGGAGGTAAGAATAGATTGAATTCAATTCAGATATACTGCATGTATTTTATTTTTCCTATGGTCCATTCATCCATCCATCTTCTTCCGCTTATCCGAGTCGGGATTTATAGTTTTTTTTAAAAAATGGTTTAATAATAATTCTATATTTACAAGTTAATTCCTCTTACTGTATTTGTGTATACACTATTATACATCAAAGCAAATTCATTGTATGTGTAACCCTACTTGGCAATTGAACCTTATTCTAATTCTGATTATTCAAATCTGAAGGAAACCAGGCCTGTGTTTTGAAGATATTAGTAAGTCTAATGTCAAGGCATAATTATAAAAAAATGTTACATATCACATTTTAAACTTTTTCTTCTGCTCTACCTTAAAAGCATTTTGGCCCATTGTCTTATGTGACCCACATACAGCCATAGGTGATGTTGAGTCACCTCTTGTGGTGTATTTGTCAGAGGGAGTTCACCTGTTGAAAAGTGCTGTACTGATGTTTGGTTCAGATATGAAGGACTCTGATAGGCCGCTCTCAGAGAAAGACCTCGGCCGGACAGGGGGGAGGGCCCACGCCTGTCCAGTGAGCGAAGAAGACAAGATGGCTGCTGCTAAGGCTGATCTGTTGATGTAAAGACATGATTAAAATAAGGAAAGACAGATGCTTTGAGTAAAATAAGTACACAAAATGCTGTTCTTGTTATATAAAATATCTTTCCTTTTTTCTAATTGAGTTTGAAGGTATTACCTTAAATTCACCATTAAGAGCTAACAAATGCTACTTTTGGAAAATATTGCCCATTAGTTGCCCCAAAAGACACTGCTTTCACAGGCTGTGGAGACACATTTACTCAAATAACATATGTAAAAAACAATTTTGAGGTACGTAGAACTTGAGTATTTCCATTGTCGGCTATTCAACTCCACAACATTTCAGAGAAAAAGTTTACTTTAAACTCTAACCGATTTAGCTGTCAGCTTTATTGACTTTGCAGATTCTGATTAATAATATAAAATATAACCAACAAATAAGATGTCATTTTATGGTATAAGATATAATAATTCCTGGGGGGGATTCAACAAGCTACCCAGCAGTATTTAAAATAAATATTTATTAACTTGTAGTTTACTCTAGTCATTGTAACACATGAACCACACTTTTACAGAATTATTTTTAAAGTATGTCTACACTATTACAAACATACTAAAGTGAAAGTTGTGATTACTTCTTTTAACCACTGATTATGGGGGGGATAAGAGAGGAGAGTGAATCTGTATTTTCTTTTGAATTCACTAGGAAATAACTTTGTACTAATGCATACAAGGATGTGATTTGGACCAAAGGAAGGAATTGTCAATACAAGAGGATGTTATTGGTTGGAGGTGTGGGGTACCTGGGTCTCTCAGGTGAGGGGTTTGGGCTGTGGGGGGGCGGGGTACGAGGCACAGCAGGCTTGGGGGCGATGGAGGCAGCAGGGATCAAACCATGAGCTATATGCTTCTACACAACACACAAGGGGGAGGTTAGGAAGAGGGTCAGCATCACAGACACATTATCACACACTATGTGGGTCATATGGTTGACATTGTGTCACACCAACACTGAGGAAAAAACAATAGGGACATGGGATGGAAAGGAAAGGGTAGAGAAACAGCATGACCACTTGAGATAGCAAACCCTGTAGTCAGACAACAGCCAGTTACAGCAGTGGGCTTTCCCTACTAGAAATACCACTGTTGTTATGAATTGGTCACAATATGTACTTTGACTGCCACTATAACAGCAAAGCTGTTAATGAACAATGAATGCCTCAGTTTAATGAATGCCTCAGTTTAATCACTGTTTTGAGCATGAACATCGTTGCCACACAATTTATTAACGTTACAAAAACTGGCGTTAGCAAATGTTAGCTTGAACAGTTCTGACATATATCGCTTTCGCTAACGTTTTACGAACGTAAAGTTATCTAACGCCAGGTTAATGCATGTTAGCTTAATGATTTAAAAAAAACATGTAAGATATACGTTTAGCTAGCTAGAAGTAGGACACGGTTAATTAGTTTAAAAAAAAGACGTCAAACTTACAAACTCCTTGTCTTTCTCCCTCCTGAAACTGAATTTGAACATAATGGAAAATACGTTTTTGACCCTTTCCTTCAACGGCTTCAGTTTCAGTTTAAGCGAACGGCTGGACTCGTGTACCAAACATTATTTCAGTCAAATGGCATTAGAAAGTTGTGCTTGTCATTATCTCGTGTTTCTAATGTTCTCAAATGTTACGCTTTTTGGGCTAAACCCTTATTAAATGAGCACGCGAGGTCTCTGCATTCAACAAGCTGCAGATTTCTGGTATCTAGACGCTTAGTCTCAAGAATGCACCTGGCTATAAAAGTAGTGCTGATTGGCTAAGAGCGAAAAGAGAAGCCAATCAGTGACTGGTATGTTTCACATAGCAACGAGGTCCTTACCGACCGTTGTCAAGCCAATAGGGGGCGACGTCGTTCCATGTGCTTATCAACTGTCACACCAGTCCACCAGCACAGAGCTGCTGAGACGAACAAAGACGTTCATCCTTTTTGTGTCGATAAATCAAATGTATGCATATCAAAATATATAGCATGTAATGTGTACAATCAAATAATATATTAGTTTGACCTAGATGCATATCTTACATGACAGACCATTCAAATGTGTCTTCAATCCAATACAATTTCTTCAACAATTTGTGCACAAAAGGAACATGATTAAAGGAAACTGACAGATTTGTTTTCGGCAAGTAGCCTAACCAACTAACCTTTGACATTTTTAGAGTACATGAAAAATCTAGCTTTTATCAATAGTGGACAAAAACTCGAACCTGACATCAGTTTTTTTACACTACATTATGTGTGCATAATTTATATAATCATCTTGTGACAAGTTCATAGATAGGCCTAATAAGTCAGCTAGACTAGACTGCTATTTGTAGTTTCTGCAAAAGTTATATTTTCAAAGAATATTTAGTCTTTTCTTTCAGATGTGTGCATTGACAATTCTAGCAAACCCTTCACAATTTCCCTTTGAGCATAAATGGGTCTATATACTGCAACACTTCACATACCTCAAATAAAGATGTTTGTGTGCTTCCCATGAATGTTCAGTCCTTTGGAAATAAATCAGCTGAAAATGTGTTATTATCAAGGCCTGCTCTTTGCCCTTAGGATTGGTAAAAGTGTGAATCCTATAACGAGAAAGTCAACAGATTTGGTTTCTGCAACATCAACGTTTTCTGTTCAAATAAACCCTGAAGAGAATTTGATCTAGGGGGATTTCATTTTCAAAGTTCTAAGCTATGGGAATAAACAATCATCTCTTTATTTATGGTAAAGTTCCCTACCTACCACACACAGAACACACACAGACAGACATGGCACAAAGAACATGAAAGGTACAGTATGCGTGAAGAAAGGCTTGATGGGTAAAACTCAATCCCATTGCGTTTCTTTCCTGTTTTCATGATTAGAATGTCATGTGATCCCAAGCTAGACTCCAACGGTTACAAACGCATGAGTGTTGACTTTGCATGCGTGTGTGTGTGTGTGTGCGTGCTCACTGAGGGCTGTCAAACTTCATTCCTCTCATTCCCAACCTGTCTGGTAGTCGCAAATTACTGACATATGCATAGAACACAATATATATATATATATATATATATATATATATATTTTAAAAAAACATTTATGAAATTAGTTTTGTCCCCATCTTTTATTGAGATTGTATACAAAAGCATTCACACCACAGTTGCAGGTACTATAGACATAGGCATTTAGGATCACTGTGCACAGTAACATGCATGGATAGATCTGTGAAGTCTTACACATCCTCTCTGTTATTGATATCAATTACTGCACATACACCATTAAGCAAAAATGGCACTTCAGACACCACTTTAGGTAAACAGAGACATAAAGAGCGTTCATCTTTATCAGTGTAACTGATCTATCTGACTTTATCAGTGTAACCGTTTTACATTTAAAAAAATCTTTACATAGAAAAAATGTACCAGTATATAAGTTCACCAAAAGGATTAAGCAAGTAAAATACATTCTTCCAAGAAACCAACCGAGAAATCCAACGTGCAAAAATTCATAACTTGACCGTTCACAAACTAGTTCAGAAACCAACATATTACAAGTATATATATATATATATTTTTGTGTGTATTTTTTTCATTATATAAATAATTTGATTATCAAATGTGAATAATAATCTACTTTGTAGATAAAGAGATAGTCCAACACGGCAAAGTGTCAGTAAAAATGTGGGATGTGACTTGGGTTAAGACAGATAGAGACAACTTGACTGTGGGCTTTGATCGAAGTCACTGTTGGGTGACCGGCGGCAGTCCAGGTGCGACGCAGGAATGTCCACCTACAGACATTCTTCCCTTGTGGAGACAAAACAACCTTTTAACTACATCAAGATTCACATTAACATAGAGAACACACAGCTCGTGCTCTTCTTACTAACTGATAAAAAGGGTGGGTAAGACGGACCAGGATTGTAAGCGGTACATTCTGACATTTAGACACATGGAGGCATTTTGGTCTTGTGGCTAACTGGTACATACAAATACCAATATTTCTTTTTACACGGTGTCCCATGGCACTTAGCAGAACATATTATCCTCAAAGGCTGTCTCACAAATACAAAAGTGACAATAATATATAACCAAGGAATATATATGATATTTTAGCAGCTTATTAAACATTGCATTCAACTCTTCTTAGCACAATTATTTGTTTCCCTCAATCACTGTTTAACATACTGCAACAAGGTTCATAACATCTACATATCTATTCAGAAAATGTATGCATTTCAAACCCCCAAAACTGATTGCCATGCTATTTGTTGCAATGACCTAATCCTTCATATAAACAGTATGAAACATGACATGAGAACATAAAAGAGCACAGCTACATCAGTACACAATGGAACTACGTAAGGAACTGCTGAAGTCACAATCAAATTACACCTCTTTGCAGTCGAGTGTCCGCTGGGTGTGTTTGTACAACTTTGTTATTGCTCCTCCAATTGGTCTTCGAGAAAACATACTGAGATGACAGTTTGAATAAGAGGCCTGTCTCAGTGCTGTGTGTTTATTTATAGACTGGAATGATAACCGGTGGGTTTCTTTTTCCCACAGTGCAGTTGTACTGTGCTGTACGCATACTGGCATGGTACAGAAAGATTATGTTTTGGTGTGGACACTTCAGGCGCTAACAAAAGGCACCTATATACAGTGTTTGGCACAGCTACTTTCCATGGTAGCTTGTGGAAATGTCATGATTACACCAAGCTATATTCCAGTGGAAACACCTAAGGGCAATGGTACCACAGCAGGTCCAGTATGGGTACAACTCAGTACTGTACACAGGCTAGCATGCTAGGCAGTACGATGTCTAGCTCAGTAGAGGGCACTGTCGTTGTGGTTGTAGGAGCTGGAGCTGGGGAACGTGGGGCAGGGTTTGTTCCAGGGAAGGGCCCCGGAGTGGTCCGCTGTGGGAAGGCTGAGGGTGCTGGCGCTCTTCAGCCTGTTCTTCAGGCCGAAGTTGAGGAAGGACGACTTCTTGGTCACTTTGCGGGACTTGGGGTTCTTGTCGTCGTCGTCATACGCCAGGCAGATCATGGAGTAGGTCTTGGGCAGGTTTCCGCAGAAGGTGGCACTCTTGGTAGGCTGGAGAGAGAAATTGAGGGGGTCATTTAGTGGAAAGAGAAAGTCATCGTTGGTTCAATCTAATAGTGGCTCTGGAAGTTATCAATCATGTATGGGGTCAATAAGTTAGACGTTTCTAGTTAGTCGTTTTCTCATATTCACAAGAGGTCAAAATAATCACACAAACAATTGGATTGTTGCTAGACATGGGTTTCTGTAAAACACCGATCGCATTCAATTTCAATTTCCAGTCAGATTTTACATTTCTGATATCAATTTGTCTTCTGAACCGCGGAATCAGATATTTGCGAGTTCAGATTTCCCTTTTTAGCATTAGAATTCTTACCTAGAATTCTTCTAATAACAGCTTTTTGGGAAAATCGAATTTTAATTGTGTTTTCATAAGGAAACAATGACTATTTAATAATTTCTCCAAAACTGACAATAAGTTACAGGACCTTCTCTCAAATTAATTTAACCAGAAATTGCAATAATATCATATTTCATATAATAGAACACTTACCCAGAAGAAGGTTCAAGTACATCTTAAGGTTGGTTTTGTTTTGAATGTGCAGGTTTTACAAATTGCGAGCTTTGTGTGCTAATGTGTTATAATTCGACTGGCAAACCTTGTGTTGCTAGTGGCCGATTTAATAGTGCATGTTCAGCCTATTCTGTCAACCCTGTGCCTGTCCGAGTGAGAATACGTCTCAAACTAAATCATTTCAGCTCTTTATCCTGATAATAAGGCTTTTGGCTTATAAACCATTTCCCTTCACAGTCCAGATATAAAGAAACTGTATTTGCCAGCTTATTTTAAACGCATGAAGCGGAAACCTGTTTGATTTTCTCTCGAACTATAAACTATTTGACTTGGCAAACTACCTCTTTATTTCTTTCTTTTCTTCTGCAAATAGGAAGAAAAGAGGGCATCTTACCATCTGGGGGTTGCTGTCCATAACGCTGACCACCTGGATGGCGACCCCTTCCTCGTTCACATCCTTTAGGAGTCGCATCACATCGCTCACGGCCATCCATTTAGAATCTGTGTCGCCCACAGCAACAATGTAGTCGCCCTCCTTGAGACCTTCGGCCTAGAGGAGACAGGAGGGAGAGCAGGAGTCAGTAAAGTGGTGCTGCAGCAGCAGTAAACATTTACAGCCCCTGGCCTGTATGAATGGAGACAAGTCAGGTTCCCCTTCTTTCCTTCCAACTGCCAGCCAGGCTCAGCAGAGAGAACAGCGGGTCACACCCAAACAAAGCCATTTGAAACAAGCACCTGCTAGAGAGTATGTGGGAAACCAGCATAATCTACACAACATTAGCTATTTCTGTCTGATAACTTGATCAGTTCCAAAAAGAAATGCAGTATTCAAAGTTATAAAGGAGGGTGACCTAGTTACACTTGTGTAATACAGCTAATCTGTTTCTCTGCCTGGATTAATAGAAGTCTGCTCTTTGTCAGCGCCGCTTAATGATCTGTCAGACTGGAAAGGGATTGCAGAGAATAAATACGGATTCTTAATTAAATGAGAAGCCAGAGAGGAGGTGGGGGGGAGGGGAGGGGAGGGGGCACCTCCTACATTCTTTGAGGCTGAATCCTGTTTCGGTTTCTGAGAAGGACTTCAATGAATCAAAGGTTCTCTGTGAAAATAATACATTAGAA